TTTTCAAATCATTTGTAAAGGACCAAAATTGCAATTGCGAAGAATTAAAAAAAAGCTTAATTTATTCATAAACAAATTCGAAAACATCCAGAAGATAAAAGCGAATTTGGAGAACAATCTATCTTCCTTACTTAAAACTGCAAAAGCAGAGATTGCACGAAAGGATAAGATGATTGATGATCTTAGGAAACGGTAAGACTCTTATATAAATTATAATATTCAAATCTGTTCCTAATTTTAATAAAATGTTTAGGTTGGACGATGCAACCTTTAGAAGAAACAACAGGAACGAATCTAAAGGTTTTTCTATTCATAGATTAGCGCATCAGCATACGTTAACTAGAAAGTATGAAAATGTCCCTTCAATTTATTTAGAAGAAAGCGAAACTGAATTGCATCAAATTAAATTCTGTCATGATGAATATGAAGATAAGAAGTCACAAAATGATATTAAACGGATATCGACGCTATTTGGAGAGAGATTACATAAGAGAATTATGGAAGAAGAAAATGAAAAGACGAAACAAAAAGCGTTAAAACTTAGTGCAGAAGTTAAAACAAAAGAGTTTCCTAAAAAGGACAGCGTAGAAAACAATAAGGAAAACGGATCTCAATTCAGTATAAATAACAATGGTAATGAATCTAATACCTATATTTTAAATAGTAAAAATAATAAAATAAAAATTATTTTATATGCAGTTATATAAGATTGTATAGAATTGTGTAGATTCAAATTTTGATACGACTTAAAAAAATTTTTAATAAATACTTGATATTGAAAAATTATTATATTTATTAAATATCTGTTATTATTATTTATCTACCAACATCTTGAAAACTTTTAGATATAAAATTTGAGATAGCTTGCATAGTCAAATATAATTAAAAATAATCAGTCAAATAATCATTAATTAAAATGATCTATTAGTATGTTGATACTATATTGATCTATTAGAAAACATTCTTGTTGCAGAATCTTCATATAAAAAGAACTTGATGAAGAGGACGAATGAAGAGGATAATACATATAGAAATAAACGTTTAAAGATTGAAAATAAAACCACTACGAAAGAAATTGATATTGCGCGATATAATTTAATTGACAATCCTGTGCAATACGAAATGAAAGATAATCTAGCAAAATTTGAGGACCGATTAGGTGCATCTTCTTTTCTCAAAAAGGAGAAAATTCCAATTCACACGGGACATAGAGCTGCTTCAGAACACCAAGACATAAAACAGGATAAAGATTGTACAAATGGATGGAAAAGTGAGAGGAAAAATAATTCAGGAAAGGATTTAGATGGTTTCAGTATTAGAAACGATGATGATTTAAGAAAATCTCGAACTCCTTCGGTGTCAAGTCATGCTTCAGAAAGATTTAACAGTGATAAAAAGAACGAATATAAATATAGCCCATCAAGAAGAAGTTCTAAAAGTAGAAGCAATTATGAGAGTACAAACAGCCATCGTTTACGTGAAAGATCCAATAGAACATATAAAGAAAAGAAGTACGATGATTATAAATACGATAGCCGATACAAAAGTGATAGATTAAAAAGAAATTACAAAAGTGAGGAAAATGATAGTAAAGCAAAACATAGACGTTTCGGAGAACATAGCGTTCTACGGGACAAATCCAAATACTCGTCAAGCGATGCAGAAGACAAAGAAGGCAGTAGCTCACATAAGAATAAAAAGTATGAAATACGCAGAATGAAAAAGATGACAGCAAATATTTTAAATGATAGAAAATTGGAGGAAAACAAAGTTATAAGGCAAACTGACTCCCAGAAGTCTTCTAGCCGAACAATTTCAAATACTATTGCGAAATATAGTATTGAGAAAAGTGCTGAGCAACATAAAATGAAGAACGAACCAGAGATGAAATCTATAAAAGAAAAGGAAGAAAATTTAATTACATGTATTACAATGGAAAATTTGAATATTATGGAAGAAGGAGAAATTTTAGATAGTCCTGAAAAAAAAAATTCTACAAATATCTTTAAAGATAATAAAATAAAAGAAGATAATGTAAAAATTGAAAATAAAAATATTCTTATTAATACATTTACTGATGAACTCATAGATCACAAATCAATTCTTCAAACTAACACAAAACAATTAGAAGTGGCAAATATTAATACAAAAAAAATTGAAGAAACGTCACATTCACGAGAAAATTCGAAAGATTATGGAGAAATAATATATTTAAATTCTGGCAAAACTGATATGACAGTTAATGAGGTACATTATACTAAAGATGAAGACATATGCATATCTCACACTAATGAAGATTTAATGGATATTCGTAATATTAGAATAATCGAACAGGTGTGTGACAGTGATATTGATATTAATAACAAAAATGATGCCGATAAAATATTAAAGGATTCTATTGTACCCGAAATCACTACCAATATTCAAGGGACTGATTTTAATGTTGAAAATGTTATTAAAATCAAAGAGTTAATCGATTCCAATATTGAAAGCGCCACTAAAAAGAAAGAAATAGACGATCCCAATATTGAAAGTACTGTTGAAGCAGACGTGAATAATATTAATAGTGATAATAATATGCAAGAAATCGACGATAAACAATTAAAATCTTCTATTAAAGTTACAAAAGTGGAGACTGTGCTCGAGTGTAATATCAAAAATAAAGATTTATGTCAAATACCAATACCAATCGGAAGCAAGATTTCTCATCAAACATCAAATAAAAATGATGTCGAAATACATCTTAATGATCACAATTATGTTCAGAAAACTTTTACCAATGTTTCTGATTTTGATGCAAGTCAAAAGCCCTTATCGAATTCAGAATATGATGAAGCTGTGTTGGAAATAGTAACATCAAAAGAAATAAAATCGGACAAAACAATTAATGTTCAATCAATTAATGCTAAAAGAACAATCCCGGCTATAGTGAAAAATAAAAAAGATCAGCAAGACAAGGGAATAGTAATTTTGCATCGTCGAAGAGCTGTGATACTGAGTGACAGTAATGCGTCTATGACCATCCTGATGAATACAGATATAACGGAAACGTCCTCTGTCATTAATAATTGTAACGATAACGATTCTGTTTTGAAACCACGTGCCTGCAAGACACCACGAGTGTTTGCAAAGGCGACTTGTAAATAATTATTGTACATTTATACGTTCATACAGTGTGTTAATAAAATCGAATTTGATAAGCGAAAAAGTGAGAGTAGGAAATAGTTGATTGTGCAAAATAGTATATTTTTAGTAGTATATTTTTGTCCTAAGACGATACTGAACTGACGGGCGAACTCCGACGAAAACATCACACATCTAACATACATAAATACATTTATTTATACATACATACACTCATACATACAGGTACGCATACATATCCATGAAATTTTCAGGCAAAATATTCTCATATACACAGCTCCTAGACGCATTTTTAAAAGCATAGTATTATTCTTCCTTGTAATTCCGACCCGAGTGAGTATGTATTGTTTGGTTAGACGACAATTTCCCGCAAAATGGAGGGGATAATGTTAGTACCAACGAAATGCCTCTAAACAAAATAATTTTAGTTTCTGTAGATTAGTAGCACTGTTCAAGTAGTAATCTGTTGGTTTGCACATCCTTTTTGACATATGCGCGGGCATGTATGTACGTAATAAGTATTATATATCAGAATATAAATATAAAATACATTATAGTATTTTATTAAAATAAAATTAAATAAAGACAAATAAGCAAAAA